TCGGGGGTGCCTGAGGGAACCTGGCTGTTCCCCCTCATCAGCTTTGTAGCCGGCTTGCTCAGGCTTTGTGGGATGGCAGGAATGACTCCAGTGCCCAGCAGCCGGAGCAAACTCAGACAGTGAGATGGTGTCGCCTTCCTTGAGGAAGAATAGGGTTGCTGTTCTCTCTCCTGGAGGGTGCGATCGGGTGTTCTGAGTCCTTATGTACAACCAGATGCCCGGGGCTGCCTGGCAGATGGTCCCGCCTGGGAGTTAGACAGCTGCCTCCCTCCCCTGGCCACAACGCTTGAGGACACAGGCGGAGGTGCTCAGTCACCTGGCCACTCTGTAACGACCTCCTGTTCCGCTGCTGCAGCGTTTGTTCTTGTGAGCACTGTTCTCTGCCTGCTCCTGGGTGGGCAGTGACGCTGTCTCTTCACCTGGCCAGGACTCTGCCCCAGGACCTGGAGAGGGGCAGTCGGTGCTGCACCTGCTCACAGTCTGGGTCGGAGTAGAATCGTAGCTCCACAGCTTACTGGCCATGTGAGCTTGCACAAGGCACCAAACTGCATCTTAAAAATGAACACACTAGGGGCCAGCCCTGTGGCGTAGCGGGTGAAGCCACCACGTGCAGTGCTGACATCCCATATGGACGCTGGTATCCCAAGTGGTTCGTGTCCCAGCTGCTCTACTTCTGATCCAGCTCTCTGCTAATGGCCTTGGAAAATGGTGTAGGTGGCCCAAGTTCTTGGGCCCCTTCACCCACACGGGAGGCCTGGAAGAAGCTCATGGCTTCTGGCTTCAGATCAGCCCAGCTCTGGCCATATGGGGAGTGAGCCAGGGGAGGGAAGACTCTTTCTCTCTATCTGTCTCTGCCTCTGCCTCTCTGTAACTCTGCCTTTCAATTAAAATAAATAAATTTTAAAAATGAATACAGTAAAATATCAATCTCACAGGGCAGTTTGGAAGTAATGCAGATCCCTGGCCTAAGAAGGCATTCTGTAAGAGTTAACAGTTTGCAGTAGCTAAATCAAATTCTCCTTTTTTTTTTTTTTGACAGGCAGAGTGGACAGTAAGAGAGAGAGACAGAGAGAAAGGTCTTCCTTTGCCGTTGGTTCACCCTCCAATGGCTGCTGTGGCTGGCGCGCTGTGGCTGGCGCACCGTGCTGTTCTGATGGCAGGAGCCAGGTGCTTCTCCTGGTCTCCCATGGGGTGCAGGGCCCAAGTTCTTGGGCCATCCTCCACTGCACTCCCGGGCCACAGCAGAGAGCTGGCCTGGAAGAGGGGTAACCGGGACAGAATCCGGCGCCCCAACCGGGACTAGAACCCGGTGTGCCGGCGCCGCTAGGTGGAGGATTAGCCTAGTGAGCCGCGGCGCCGGCATCTCCCACGTTTTCATGTCCTTTTCTTCCTTTTCCCAGACCTGGCTTGCTGTCTTGTGTTGCTTTAGCAGAGCTCTGTAAATTTGTCCACTTCCTTGAGAATGTATGATAGCACACTTAACAGATTGCAAACAGGTTTTACTATTATTATTATTTGGTTGCTTTAACTTGACCCTCCGGAGTTAAAACTGCTGTGCTAAGCTTGCCCTCAGTGCTGTCCAGAGCCATCGTGCTTTGGGACCCCCTCGTAACTTAGCTATGACGCAGAAGGTTCTTTCACACGTTTGCTAAGCCCCGTGATGACGAGCATTTGCCATACCTCACGGCACACAGAAGATGCAGAGTAGAGCGGTTAATACCCACCAGTTCTGCCGCCCGGGAAGGAGGGTTGACTGTGAAGTCATGTTGCTTTCCTCTTTAAAACTTTGCTCAAGCCCGAAGGCAAATCCTTTTCGCAGGGGCTCAACCACGCTTCATTTTCAAAACGCACCTGCAGCCGCCTGGGAATGTGCTGTGCAAATTCCACCGAAGATAGGCATTCCGATTAGCTTCTGGTGGTAATGATGTATTTTTAAACTATTATTTGAGATAAACGAATAGATGACTGGGTTATGCTTGTTTTAATCCCTTCATTTGGGCTTTGTGATGTCAGACTGGACACGATTTGCTGAAAATGAGAGTGCCGAATAATTCTACCTTAAGCCAGATTAGAGGTGGGCCCTGTCTATTTCCTGGTATGTTGCAGGTGGCTTGATATGTGGCTGTACATTTTATCCTGCTTAAAATGGTAATTTTGTTCACAATATTATAATTGTCACAGTTCCATCCCCATTTGAGGTTTAATTCCACATCATCAGAGAGCCACTGTCACTGTTTGCAGCACTCCTGGGTCCTAGTCTGTCTGCCACATTCTTACCCCTTGGTCCACTTGCTGTCTTTCCTCTATTTTGTGGCCATGTGTTTCCATGCAGCTCTTATGTGTCTGGAGAAATACACCTAATGTCTGCACGTGCATGTCTGAAAGAGCACAGTTTGCTTTCCATTTTGTTGTAATTTTGGACGTAAATAGAAATGTTGGGGTCTCCACAGGTCATCTGAGCTGCTCTTGTGTGAGTTTCTTTCCTCCACTGGTAGTGACAAGTAGAACTGGACGCCTGGTGGGTTTAGTGTCCTTGAAAATGGTCACATTCACACATATGCATACACATGGATATACATGCACACACATATAATATAATTTAAGAATTAATAGGAAAACTTTCTTTTTAAGTTGACTTGTCAGCCGGGCTACAGCAGGTAACTGTGTTTTCAGTTCAGCAGGGGTGAGAGCCGGTCGGGTGGTGGGGTGAGTGGTCAGCTGCCAAGCAGTTCGGTGTACAGAAGGCGCTTCAGAGCTGAGGGCCCAGGAGCCACTAGCCCACCCCCCAGACCTCCTACCTGCTCTTTCCCTCTCTTCCTTTCCTCCACTTTTTTCAACTACTGAATTTCTTGTGACCCAAAATATTTCCTGGATTTCAGAAAGAAAGAAAAAAGATCAGTTCGTTGCTGACTTTTCAACAAAGAGCAGTTCTTGTATTGGGCATTTTCATGTATTTATAAAAGTGTCTAAGTTGGTGAGTTACTTATCTTGGTTGCTTACCTTGATCACATACAGGTTCATGAAAAGTGCTCTTAAAAGGTGCTGTTTCAGGGGAAACAACTTGGAAACCCGTGTGTGGCTTTCTCCCAGTCCACATTTTACAGGCGCTCGTAGATCACATGACGCCATGCTGGCGAAGACAGCTACAGAGCGGTGTATTAGCTTGCTTTTCATCGGTGAGGGAATATCCAAGGCAGCTGACTTTATAAAGAGGCTTATTTGGTTCCTGATTCTGGAGATGCGTGGTGGGTTTGCTCTGTGTTGGCAGAGTCCCGGGAGGCACAAGCGTCACCTGGGAGACAGGCAGTTTGCATGTCTCCGTGTGTTCCTGTGTGGCCCCTTATAAAGCCACCAGGGTTGACTTACATGCTGCACCCTAATCCCCTCCCCAAAGTCCAACCCTGAACACCTCGCACCCCCTCTGAGACCCTTCTTGGTGGGCTCTGAGGCCGAGCCCTTAACTTGTGGGCCTTTCTGGGTGGGATGGAGGGGGAACTCAGCAACCAACTGAAACCCAGAGAGCACTGGGACTCCCTGGCCTGACTGACAAGTTCCCCATGGGATGTGACTCTGATCACCTTCCTAAAAAGCATCCCAAATCTTGTTGATTAAAGATTTTTTTTTTGCTTTGCTTTTAGCCTCCTCAGCCTCCTCCTGAAGTTTTACCTTCGACATCCTCTCCCATCCTAAGCTGAGCAAAGTTAACACAAACCAGGTTTTCCCCTAGAAGCAGTGGAAGGTGCACTGTCATTAGTGTTAGCTCTAGTCTGACATCCAGATGGAATCTGAGAGAGGGGAGCTCGTGGGAGCTGGGCATCAGCTCTGCCCTTCGCCATGTTAACTGTGGACACGGAGCCCGATTTTCCAAGCCCCAGTGTGCTCACCTGTGAAATTATGAAAATATTAATGAGCACCTGCTGGTGCTTGTTGGGGGAGGTTGGTTGGCCAGCTGGATCCCAAGCCTGATCCTGGGCCTTTACCTGTGTCCGTCGGACAGGGACAGGGGCCTTCTCCATCCGTTAGCTCCTCCTCACACGGTTCTTCCCGTAATCGGTGGATTTGTCTTCCTTGTGTGACTCTAAGTGTCACTCAGTGCTTTGGATCTCACTGCCCTCTGGGTGTTTACTCGAGCTCCTCCCTCCCTCCCTCCCTTCCTCCCTCCTTCTCTTCTCGCTCTCTCTTTCTCTTTCTTTCACTGATTTCTGACTTTTGATCATCTCACGTCCCTTTGATTCCAGAGAAGATAGTTTGCATGACTTTCTTCCGCATTTACCCTTAGGTAGAGTAGCCCATGTAAGCACTGTCTTTAATTTTCCTAATCTGGGAAACATAGCTGACGACAAATTAAAACATGCCTCCCTGTCACAAACAGGGGAAAGCAACCCGAAGGAAAGTGTTCTCACACCTTGGAGAATGCTCTGTGGCAGCCAGTGGCATGCTCACTTTAGATTTTCCTACCCAACTTAATTGTATGAATTTATGCAAAGACCAATGTCTTTGGAGTTTTACATAACCATTTAAACTAATTAAAGCATTGTAGATACAGTAGTCAAAGACAGTTTCCATACTACCATAACAAATAACTCTAAGTTGTTTTGGCTTTGACTTGTGCTAAATTATCAGCCACAGCACATTCAGCACACAGATCAACACGACACCAGAAAGCATGGCCATTTTTCAGTGTTCTCCTAGCTGAGCTGGACCAGCTGCACTAGGTTGTGAGAGTTACAGTTAGTGCGTCCAGTTGGATTTCTTGTGGACATCAGTAGTAATGCAATGGAAAATGATCGGTTGTTAAGGGATACATGCCTTGTGCAGTAGAGAGACCCTCAGGTAGCATGAAAGCCACTCTCCAAGTTTATTGCGTGTGTTGGGGCCGACGCTGGCTTCTTTCCTGATGGAGCCGTGGTTAGCGTGTGGATGATGTAGTGTGGGATCGGAATCACAACCTGGTATTACAGCTGTGGTAACTGTAACAACAGGCAGGCAGCGTGGTCCTCACACTGTGTGCGTCCTGATCTCCAGCTGGAAACTACCCCCGCACCCTGCATCTCCATGCTCACACTCGGCATCTCACAGACAGGTTCAGGTTTGCACTCGGATTACATGGATGGCGCTCGCAGGTCCAGGGAGGAGAAATGGAGCCAAAATCCATTGTAACCCAAAATACTCGCCCTCCTGCTTGAGGCTACCCCGTCTCACAGATCAAATTCTCCTCACCTTGGCTGAGCACTGATTTTATACATTTTGAAACAAACTTAACTAATTATGCCTTTTTATATTAATAGGCGCACATATTCAATTTCTGAACTTCTCTACGGAAGCAAATCATGACTACCTTGAAATTCAGAATGGACCTTACCACACCAGCCCAATGATCGGGCAGTTCAGCGGCACAGACCTGCCCGGCGCCCTGCTGAGCACCACGCACGAGACCCTCATCCACTTCTACAGCGACCACTCCCAAAACCGGCAAGGGTTTAAGCTCACGTACCAAGGTGAGAAGAGGACAGCAGATCAAAATGTGCAGCTTACGTTGCAATTGTAACGTGGAAGTAATGCAATCGTAACGTAAGGTGGAAGTCTCCCTAATTGGTTAAAATATGCACGGTTGAAGAGGCCTTGCAATGCATTTTTATTTATATATTTTAAATATATTTGGAATACACAGAGACAGAAAGACTGGGAGGCAGAGAGCGCCCCTCTGTTGATCTCTTCCCCAAATGCTTGCAAGAGCCAGGCTGGTGCAGGTGGGAGCCAGGAGCCAGGAGCTCAGCCCTAGTCTCTCAGATGGGTGGCAGGGACCTGAGGGCTCGAGCCACCCCTGCTGCCCCCGCAGGTGTGCTTATGCGGAAAACTGACGTCAGGAGTGGAGCCGGTACGCAAGCCTGGTTCCTATAGGGATGCGGGGTCTTAACCTCCGTTCCAGATGCCCCCCTGTGCAGTGGGTTTTCACACTGTGCTGGCTTTTGACCAGGAGTGGAGCCAGGGCTGAGGGCACCGACTGGAAGTGCGTGGCCAGGTGTGTCCCTGTGGCACCTTACGCACACTCCCTGCCCACCCGACGTACTCTGGTGACCGTCATCCCAACCTGCCAGCCACGCAGCCTTCTCCTGGGTCCTTTTGCGTCTTGGTTCTTGTCCAGCCAGGACAGGAGACTGCTGGAGGGGAGAGACAGTGTCCCTGGGCTTGATTTGTGGTCGCAGCACAGGAGAGAGGCTGCATGCGCTGCTCACGGCTTGTTCAAATTCTGCCAGAACAAAGGAAAAACTCAGAAAGTCTGGACTTTAACCTTTGTCCATCCATCCAAATAGGAAATCTCTAAGAAAAACTTTAATCAACCATTATCAAAGTATTTTTGACATGTGAAAAAGTTCAACACTTTCTTTTCTCACAAAGTAATTTAGCTGGCCTTTTGTTGAATATTGTTAAATCAAACAAAGTTGAAAATGCCAAACCTAAGGCGACTTTTTTTTTTTCCAAGCACGTCTAAATCACTTGCCTTCCTTGATCTCTCAGCCTAACCTCAGAAGCAGAACTTAGCACTTTATGAGTGAGAGGCTGGTGTGTTTTCTCTTGGAATCTTGGCCATTGTGTCTGAAATTCTCACCTAAAATGTTGAATGTAGGCATAGATTTCCAGAACTGGGGTTGCTTAATGTAGGATCCAGGTGAGGAGAAAGAGGGTCAGGGAAGCCCTGAGCAGTGAGCTGCACCCATGGACGGGGCCAGGACCTCATGCACTGTGCCTGCCCTCGCCTCTCCTCACCTCTGCACTGGTCAGGGAAGCCTTGGCAGTGAGCTGCGTCCGTGGACGGGGCCAGGACCTCATGCACTGTGCCTGCCCTTGCCTCTCCTCACCTCTGCACTGGTCAGGGAAGCCTTGGCAGTGAGCTGCGTCCGTGGATGGGGCCAGGACCTCACGCACTGTGCCCGCCCTCGCCTCTCCTCACCTTTGCACTGGTCAGGGAAGCCTTGGCAGTGAGCTGCGTCCGTGGACGGGGCCAGGACCTCACGCACTGTGCCCGCCCTCGCCTCTCCTCACCTCTGATCTTCAGCTTCCCCCCCCTCAACAAACAGGGTCCCCGCCCACCCGGAGGTTCCGCACCTGCACACGTGTGCATGCACAGGACACCCGGGCAGACGCAGCCTCCCACAGCATGGGGGTCGCTGCTCTGTGCCTGTTTTCTGATCCTCCCTCTGGGCAGCCCACCTGTGCCCCGGGTACCCCTCTTCCCACCCTCACAGAGACATCATGCCAGGACCCCTGCTCTTTCCTCCCATGATGTCAGCCAACACCCGTCCGGGGGCTTTCCAAGACCTGTCTGGAGCATCCCCATCTTCTTTGTCTCTCTCAGTGCCGCGTCAGATGTAGCGTTGGGTACCTGGTGGCTGCTGATCCTCCTGCAGCCTCTGCTTTCTCAGACGTGGCCAGACGGACGTCTGCACCAGCGTTGCCAGTCCCCCTCCTCCTTGGCTCTCTGACCCGTCCTTGCACGGGGTTTGCTGCCACTGTCCTCCACTTCACTTGGTGTGCACGTCACCTGCTCCCACGGGCTGTCTTCCTTTCTCGTGTTTCCCCACAGCACTTGGCTTGACTCCTACCACTCTGTCTCTGCCAGCCGGGTCCTGTGGCTGCAGGAACAACACAGTCCTTTGGTTTTCCTTCCGTCACAGTGGCTCCGTCCTTACTGTCCCTGCTTCCTTGTCCCCTCCCGGCTGCCAGCCTGGGGTGCAGGGCCCCATGGGAGTCCTCCCGTGCTCTGTCACAAGTTTTCCCCGAGTGTCATCTGCACTCTTAGACTTGGTGACCATGACCGCCATTTGTGTCTGGCAGCTCCGGTGTCTGCATCTCCATACAAGGCGTCTGCGAGCCCCAGCCCGGGGAGTGAGCCCGGCCTCATGGGCATTTGAAGCGTCCTCAGCTCAGCTCCGCTTTCCCTCCCAGGCAGGCTCCCCTGCCAGTGCCCTCTCCCGCTCAGTGTGTGGTGCAGTGGCCCTGCAGCCCCGCTCTGTCACCACCGGGACCCACAAACCCTCACAGACCTCGTTCTGAGAAAGCTGTCGGACTCTGCCAGGCCGTAGCACATTTGCTCCCCAGCTTCTCTGGTTTCTCCCTGGAACAAGCGTGTGTTCTCTCCAGATGCACGCCTGTCCCTGCTCTCCAGGCTCTGAAGATGCAGCTCAGGATCTGCACAGGCTCCACCCACACAGCTCTTCTTCCCCCTCAACTCCCACCCCGTCTCTCCTCCTTGTTGTTTAAGTATTATTTATTTGAAAGGCAGAGTTACAGAGAAAGAAGGAGAGACAGAGAGGGTTCTTCCATCTGCTGGTTCATTTTTCCAAATGGTCACAATGGCCAGGACTGGGTCAGGCCAGAGCCAGGAGCTTCTTTGGGGTCTCCCACGTGGGTGCAGGGGCCCAAGAACGTAGGCCATCTTCTGCTGCTTTCTCAGGCATGTTAGCAGGTAGCTGGGTTGGAAATGGAGCGGCCAGAACTTGACTCCACGCTCACGTGGGATGCTGACGTTGGCCAGCGGTAGCGTAACCTGCTACGCCACAACAGCATCCCCGGACCTGTGCTCCTGGAGAGCCTCCAGGGGCTGCCGGCACACAGCAGCCTCAGCGCACGTGGCCGCTGAGACCACCCCGCTCTGCTCCAGGGAGGGTTAGGTCCCTGTGTGCATCGTCAGAGGCCAGCACGGCAACCCTTGAGTGCAGACCCTGCCCGGCTCCTGTTCCACTCTAGCATGGGGCAACCTTGGTGTCAAAGGTGACCTCGGCGGGGAGGCTGGGTAACAGACAGAGAAGGGCCGAGGAGGGTGGGCAGAGCCGGACGCGGTAATATCCTGAAGGCAGCTGTCTCTAGGACATCTGTGCCGGGAGCTGGGTGTCCCCAGCACCTCCTCCTGGCGGCGCCTTCTCCCTGTCAGGCTCCGCCGAGGTGTGGCTGTGCCTCCGTCTGGTGGGCGAGATTGGAGTGTGAACTTGAAGCACCAACGCTTCCTTCACACTCACGGCTGCTCCGGGAGCCCAGGCCTGAGTCCGGGCACCAGGAGGGAGCTTCCTCACTGTAAGCCAGCGAGACCGGGGGATGAAACATCTAAACTCACAGGCATGGCCAGGATCCGTTGCATATTGTGTGCACTTAGTAAGTGTTCTTCCAGAAACAGCAGACGCCACGAGACCAGCACTGCTTTCTGTCTGCATCTGTGCTCTGTGCACAGCATGGCCCGTGGCGCTGGCTGCGGATCAGCCCCCGCACCCACCCCGGCTCCTCTCTGCCTCCTGCTCATCCTCCGACCCCCTGCTGAGGGCCGATGTCCTCTGTGCCTGCGTTTAGGGAGCACCTGCACAGGGCTTACCTTGATTAGGTTAGTGTTATGCTCTTGCCACCTCCTTTTGAATTTCAGTCTCTTTCAGTCCCTACACGATGCAGATACCCCTAACAAAGCCGTTCAGCCAGTCCGTGCCTGTGCAGACAGGCACAAACACCAGGTGTGTGGCCTTGCTGATGCTTGGCTGCGGAGGGGGCTTCTGTGTGCGTCGTGCTGAGCCCAGTGCACTGGTGACCATGCGATGATCTGGAACACGTTTGCACTTTGACTGTGGCAGTTTTCAGGGTGCAGTTCCCTCCCAGGGGTGCTGAAAGCAGTGGGCTGTCCGCAGCAGCAGAATGCTGGCTGGATGCAACCCTGACTGATTTTCTGCAGGTGTGGCCCTGACACTGGCAGGTGCGTCCGCTCGCCCTGTGTTCTAGGGCTGCTGAAGCGATGGTGCGGACACCGGGGCCTCTGCAGGAACCTGCAGCTGGCGCTGTGAGAGTTGGATGTCAGGGGGACCCAGAGGCCAGTGGGACTCCTCTGCCTCTCGCAGACCCTCTGTGATTCTTCAGGAGCTGCCCGATGCCATGGCCAACAGGCGCCGGCAGCTGTCCCCAAGGTTTACCCAGCAAACACTGTCACAGCGTGTTCTGTGAGCACCCAAGGCCCGTGCAAACTAAGCCACCCTGGGCCTGGTGTTATAAGCAAGGAAACTGAGGGACGGGCACACACGGAGAGACGTGACCAAGGGTCCCTCTGTGGTGGTACAGACAGAGCCCAAGGTCTGGGTCCTGAACCAGGAGAGGCGCTGCCCCTCCCCCACCTGCAGCTGCTCTCTCCCACCCTCCTCCAGGCCGTGGCCCACCTCACTCAGCTTCCCTCCCCTCCCTGAGCCACCCCTGCCCCAGGTCCAGAGGGTTTCCCTGGGGTCCATTTCCTTCCATGACATCAGCAATGAGAAAAAAATAGGCTGCCATGTTTTTGCTTGTTTTAGAGAGAAACTTGGGGCTGCTCCTTGTTTATTATGGGCACTGGCTTTGGCCTCCTTAATTCCTGAGCCAAGCAGCACTTCTATGAGAATACCTTTCCCTGTAAAATTTAAAGAAATGGGGAAAAAAGAATACATATAAAAAAAGCTTCATGGAAGTTGTAACCTAGATTTCTTTTTAAGATTTA